CTTGACAACTTCAATCCTTTCCCCATGTATCATGATTATGTGTTGAGCACACAGATTGAACAAGTATAATGAGAGGATACAACAATACTGACACACACCTTTCCTGATTTTAACCCTACAGTATTTCCTTGTTCTATTCACCCAACTGTCTCTTATTCCATGAGCAAGTTTCATAGGAGCTCAAACAAGTATTCCGGAATTCTCATTCTTATTAGAAATACCCATAGTTTAATATGGTCCACAGAGATGAATGCCTTGGCACAATCAGTAAAACACAAGTAAACATCATTCTGGTATTCGCTACTTTGAGCCAACATCTATCTGACATCTGCAATGATATCCCCTGCTCCAAGGCCTCTTCTGAAGCTGGCCTGAACCTCTGATAACTCCTTGTCCATGTACTGCTGCAACCAGTTGGATAATCTTCAGCAAAGCTTTACTTGCATGCGATATCAATGATACTGTTTTATAATTTGATCATTCCGTTGAGTCACCTTCCTTTGGAAGGGGTACAAATAGGTATCTCTTCCAGTCAGTTGGCAAAGTGGTTGTCTTTCAAATGTTCTGGCCTAGACAAGTGAGTGGTGGCAGTGTTCATCAGCTTGTTGGAACACTTCAATTGGTATTCCATCGATTGCTGGAGTCTTGCTTTTGCCAATACATTCATTACTGCTTCAACTTCTTCCTGCAGTACCATTGGTTTTGCCCATATGCTACCTCCTGAAGTGGTGAAATATTGACTTGTCTGGTGTTTGGTACAGTGACTCTGTATTCTTTCCATCTTCTCACGACGCTTACAGCATCATTCAATATTTTGCCCATAGGATCTTTCAAGATTCCAACTTGCGGCTTCAATTTTTTCTTGAGTGCTTTTAGTTTCAGGTATGCTGAGACTGTTCTTCCCTTTGGTTGTCTAATACTAGGTATTTGCACATTTCATTATAATATTTGGCTTTGTCTTCTTGCCAATTTTGAAATTTTCTTTGACTTCATCTTTTCTTCCATTTGTTGGCTACTCTATGATTAAGAGCAAGGCAGAATCTCCTCGGACATCTACTGTAATCTTTTCTTTCCTTTCTGTCTTTTTAAGGACCTTGTACTTTGTTCATGAATGATGATCTTGATGTCATCCCACAGTTCATCAGGTCTTCTTTATGGTATTCATTGAACATTCATGTTCAATGTGTCAAATATGTTCTTGAGAGCTTTTCGAAATTCAAGTGGGATAGACTCAGGGTCATGTTTTGGATCTTGTGACTTGTTTTAATTTTCTTCAGCTTTATCCTGAAATTACATATGAAAATTTGATGTTCTCTTCCACAGTCAGACCCTGGCCTGGTTCTAGCTGTTAATACTGCGCTTCTCCATCGTGTCTTCGAACAGATGTAGTCAATTTGACTTCTGTGTGTTCCATCTAGAGAAGTCCATGTGCACAGTCACCCTTTGAGTCAGTGTGGGTCATAAACGAGGTGCCAACCTCCAGGTCTGAGGTTCAAATTCACAGTTGTTCTGACAAAGGAAGATGAACTGTCTGTACCTGGAAAGATTTAAAATCAAAACAGGCTGTTCTACTCCACCCCATAGGGTTGCAAGGAGATGAGATCCACAAATAACAGTGAGTTTGATTGGGGGGAGTCCTATCTTCAAAATGCTATAGACAAATGCAGGGACAGTAGGAATACACACATACCTCAGGCATGCCACCATACATTGATGCATTGCCCCTTCCTCTTGTTTGCATCAAAATGTTTACAATACATTTTACAAAGAAAACAAGCAAAGATTCTCCTGGCAAAGTATTTTTCCCGTATCTTCACAAGTGGTCTGAACATTTTGATCCACTATGTTAACTCGGTAACCTTTCTTTGGATAGGTTTAGAGCTAAGAACTACGTAATGGGAAAAGGTGTTCTGGAGTCAAATTTTTTTATCAGAATTATACCAAATTATTACATTTCACTATAATCCCATTTCAAGAAGGAAGCCTATTAAGACTGCTAAGCTGTCACTGCCAAATTTCTATATTTCAAAGCAAAACGTTCCAACTTTTTTTTCCACCTTTACTTCACCATAATTATTTTTATTTGTAAAAATGTCCTTCATTCAAAACTGGCCATCACGATGTGATTCATGGAGTGATTGAGATCTACATAAGGTTTGACGAACTGCGCTTTTGCAATTGTGAAATGTCTTTTGCTGTCATTACTCTACAAAATCAGCTTTAATCACTAAAGTATAGTTTGTTTTTCTTCAGTTTAAACTTTTTTGGTTTTCTTGGTTGAGTCGTGTGAAAAAGTAAGACAGAGAAAGGCAAAAGGAGGAGAAGAAGAAGGGTACCCGGAGAGAAGCAAGTGGAGACAGGGAGACAGAGAATGATAAAGAGAACAACAACTAAAACAATTGGTCTTTTTCTCCTCCTAAACCTTTTCTTGAATCTTTCAGTGCAAAGGCCATCGGTTAGGACAAAGCGGGGCCTTTATTCTGGGCTTGGCGGTAGAAGCACCGCAGTGGCATGCTGCAGACAGGTAGTGTTCAGGAGAAGTAAGGCATCATCTCCATGGGAGAGGAGCTTGTATTTCGGTGCTGGTACCTAAGTGAGGTGAAGAGGCCAGAAAATGAGCCCAAAGCCAAAAAGAGACCCAGTATGAGGAAAGAAAGGCAGCCTTATTGTGTGGGAGGGCACAAGAAGCAATGGGGGACATTAAAGGGAAGATTAACTACATAAGTGAATTCATTAAGGATCCTGGGAACTGTACTTCTCACTACTAGAGAGAGAAAAGGCAAATATGAAAAAGGAGAAAATGAGAACATATCTGTGATTTGTGGATTTTGGTTTTTTAAGTTACATCCTTGGCTGTCATAAACCCCTGCCATCAGTTCCACTGTGACTCATAGTGGCCCTAGAACAGAGTAGAGCACCGTCACCGACTTTCCAAGGCTACCAATCTCTAAGGAAGGAAGCAGTCTCATCTTTCTCCTGCATATCAGCTGATGGGTTTGAACCACCAACCTTGCAATTAGCAGCCCAACACTGAACCCACTGTGCCTCCACAGCTCACTGTATTTGCTATCATAAGAAATGGAAATAACATTGTGAACTTGTAGTTTCCATTGTTTGATATAGAATTAAAAGTATAAATGTATATATGCATGTGTGTGCGTGTGTGTACATACATATAGTGACTATCTTTGTACACTCAGAAGCAAAACCTACAAAGTAATAAATCAATATGTAACGATTGGATTCTGATATCCACTAATCAGAACTAGGGCTTGGAGAAATGATTGCTTTCAGGATTGAGAAAGTATAAGATAAGCTCAGAAATCTTCAGTGATACCAATGAGACCAAACAACTCCCTGCCAGTGAGTCGGTTTTGACTCTTAGCTACTCTGCACAGGGTTTCCAAGGGTATAAATCTTTATGAGAGCAGACATCCTCATATTTCTCCTTCAGAGTACCTGGTGGGTTTGAACTACCAACTTTGTGGTTAGCAATCCAACACTTACACAACAGTACCACCAGAGCTCCTTCAAGGAATGGTAAATACACAGACAAAGCACCCATCTCACACAGGCTATCACTGGCCACATTTAGGATAATTCAGTCACCAAAATCATAGCAGTTTTAACAAAATGATCCACTACATTAAATAAAAATCATTAGTCAAAACTGATAAATTTCTAACTGAAAGTTTCAGAGCAACCATGAAATAGATATTAATTAATAAGGAAAATAATAGGAGTTTTACACTGAAGATGACTGACAGTCACCACCTTAATCATGTTGAAGGTAACTAGTACAATAAAGGGATAAAACAGAATCATGTACCAACTGATGGGATATGGTAAGAACATAGCATCATTTCCATGAAAATCTTGTTAATAATGCATAATTGGAGTCTCCTAATCACAGGGCAACATCAGACAAACCCAAAATGAATGGCATTCTACACATTATCTAGCCTGTAATGGACTATGTTGAGAAATTATTCCAGATTGAAGAGATTAAAGGAACCTGGCAATTAAATGCAATACACAATATGGGAAGTAGATCATTTTGCTAGAATGTGTATTAAAGGGACAAGTAAAGAAATTTGAATGGGGCCTGAGGATTAGAAAGCAATCAGTAGTCTTATGTTGACTTCCTGATTTTCAGAAATGTCATTTGTGGTGATACAGAAGAATGTCCTTGCTTATAGGAAAAACGTACGAACGAATCTGGAAGGAGATGGTACATTATGTCTGCAACTAACTCTCAAAAGATTTGGGGGAAACATCTTTATATTCTAAAAGAAATAGCAAGAGAAGGTATAGTTACCTAAAACTCACTGCCATCGAGTCGATGCTGACTCGTCGCGACGCTAGAAAGCAGGACAGAGCTGCCCCTGTAGGGTTCTGAGACGGTGACACCTTGCAGGAGTAGAGAGTCTCCTCTTGGTCCCCAGAGGAGGTGGGGTCAAAATAGTTCCAAAGTCCACACAAAACATCCGCTTCATTTTACAAGGTGGAATAGCATGAAGAGGCAACTTCTTCCTTCTGTAGATTATTATTCGTTTGGGGGATATTCTAAAGAATTCTCCAAGAGCCACTGGGATCAACCACCCCAGGAACACAGCTTCCCAACCAGTCACCAGCACCCCGTAGTGAAGGCATGCACTACAAAAGCGCTTCAGCTTTAGGGGAACTGGCTATATTCTCAAGGCTCTGTGCTTTTATCCATGTGTTCTCTTACTTACGTAACTTTCTATTGGTGGCACATTGTGAAAAAGCTTGTAAAATATTGCCAGTATGTAAAAGGTACATGAAGGTTCAACACCAACATTGTTCTCACCCAATCCCACAGGAATACAACCAAAAAGAATGATCATCATCTTGCTCTGAACGGGTCACAGATAACAGTCAGTACTAATGGGCACCACTACTGTACAGAGGTACGTACCTACCATCTCAGTAAAACACTGAAATAACAGACTTTCGCCTTAAAAACATAATTTACTTACCTGTTGAATTAAAGAGGTTTATATAAAAGGCCTCATCTGTTTCTGGGATATCATCTTCATTGACAAAAACCAATATGCTCTGCTCTCTTCTTCCAACATCAAACACAAGGGTTGCCCCATTGTCAGTAGGTAGATAGTCTCCTTCCCTAGCGGTTGCACTGCCATCGCTGGTGGCATACTGAACAGCGCAGGCGACCTCAACAGATCCATTTCTCACCACAGTAAAGGAAGCAGCCTCGCCTTCCTGAACCCTCACTACACGAGGTTCTGAAATACCCCAAAAGGAAGGAAAAAACAATGTCACCTACACAGTTTCCAGTCATGTCTCTCTGCCTGCATTTCCCATTCTCCCCTGTTCTGGTCCCCAAGAAATGCCCTGCACTATTTGCTGAACATCTAACTCCATGCCCAGCTCCTCCAGGAGTCTTCCTGTTTTCAATAGTCAAGGGCCTTCCTCTTTCCTTGATTCTTAAAGAATCCAGCCTGCAACATCCGGCCCAGCAGCTAACAGCATACCTCTTTAAGACCTCTGTCTCCACTTTAATATACCTTTTTTCCTATGTTAGACTTAAAATTCCTTGAGAACAGACCCAGAAACTATTTATTTAATCTTTGCCACAGCAGTTAGCCTAAGGCTGAGAAAACCAACTCATCAATGTTCTGTTAACTGAAGGTTAGTACTACGAATCAATAAGTTTAAAGAAGTTTAAAAGGTCTCTCTCTGCAATGGTAAAGTTGACGTATATACAACAGTTGTTTAAGAAAGCATTAGATACCAAAAACTTCACAAATAAAACTTAAAATGCCTCAAGTGGCAAAAACAGTTCTAATGATAGTATTTTAAAAAGGGGTGGTGGCTAAATTGATATATCCACAAAAATCTTAATTATAATAACTTCAAACAAATTTAAAAAGAATCATCTGAATGACTCATAAAATCATATTTAGCTAATTATCACATGCACTGCAGCTAAAATGTTAAGATGAAACTCATCATTTTAAAGTAACATATTTACAGACTGATAAGATGGATGCAGTTACTCAAATGGGATAGCAATACCACCTGCAAAAAAAACAGGGTCATCATTTCTTCGAATCCTCAGTGTTGCACTTGTTTTATTTCCTATTTTAGCTCCTCCGGTGGCATTGAGTAGGGTAATGGTAAATTCTTCCATTTCCTCTGGAATCTATTAGAAAATATGTTATTCAGGTGATTGACCAGGTAATTCCATTACATATTTCTAAGTTGTTTTTGTAGAGTATTCAATTAAAATTCAGATCAAAAAGGAAAACAAATGTTCTAATATTATTTATCCAAACAGGCTTTTATTTTATAACTATAAAGTTTAAAGAAAACAGAGATCTTTTGCCTTACATAAGATAGAAGCTTTTATTACTTCTGTTAAAAACTGTAAACGTAAGAGTAAGTCGAATATTATTGCTACAATGATTCCAGTTCATGCATGTGAAAGTTTATTCCAAACGAAACATGTCTAAACATGTCTCTTCAGTCAGTAGATGGCTACAGATACTCTCCGACATACAGAGAGGCTCTCTCAGTAATGCGCTGTCTCAGGCTCCTTCGGATGCCTTCATTAAAAAGGACCAAGCAGATAGTGGCTGCTGGGGTATCTGCTACTGCTCTTGTTGCCAGGTGCCACCAAGTCAGTTCTCATAGCAACCTAATGTACAACAAACAGAACAGAGTACCCCCTGCCCTGCACCATCCGCACAATTATTCTTGTTTGAGACCATTGTGGCAGCCGCTGGGCAGTCCATCTTACTGAGGGTCTTTCTCTTCCTCACTGCTCCTCTCCTTTACAAAGCATGATGTCCTTCTCCAGGACGGTGCTCGCCTGATAGATGTCAAAGGTACATGAAGTGAAGTCTCACCACCCTTGCCTCTGAGGAGCATTCAGGTTGAACTTCTTCCAAGACAGATTTATTTGTTTCTTGGCAATCCATGGTACTTTCAATATTCGTTGTCAGTGCCATAATTCAAATGCATTGATCTTTCTTTAGTCTTCCTAACTCAATGTCCAACTCTCGCATGCCTATGAAGCCATTGAAAATACCATGGTTTGGGTCAGGTGCACCTTGGTCTTCAAAGTAACAGCCTTGCATTCGGCACTTTAAAGAGGTCTGTGCAGCAGATTAGCCAATGCAAAGCACCCTTTGAGCACATGACTGTTGCTTCTATGAGCACTGATTATGGATCCCAGCTAGGTGAAATCCTTGACAACATCAATCTTCTCTCTCTTTACATGATACCCAGTTGTGAGGACTTTATTTTCTGTATATTGAATTGTAATTCATCCTGAGGGCTTCAATCCTTGACCTTGATCAGTAAGTACTTCAAGACTTCCTCATCTTTAGCAAGCAAAGCTGTCATCTGCTTAGCGCAGGTTGTTAATAAACTTTCTTCCGATTCCGATGCTTTGGTCTTCATATACTCCAGCTTCTCTGGTTATTTTCTCAGCATAGATTGAATAAATATGGTGAAAGGGTACAACCCTCACGCACACCTTTCTTGATTCTAAAACATGCAAGCTTCCCCTGTTCTATTTACATAGCTGACTCTTGATCCATGGACACGTTCTATATGAGCACAATCTAGTGCTCTGAAATTCCTATTCTTCTTAAGGCTATCCATAGTTTGTTGTGATCCATACGGTTTAATGTCTAGCATGGACCAGGTCAGTTAAATTCAAGTTAGAAAGGTCAACTCAGAAGGGTATAGCAACTATTTGGGGAGTTTCAGGTGAGTAATCGTGATAGATTTTATCAAAGCTCACAGGAATATCACAAGGGCTTATCATGAAGAAGTTCAAAGAAAATTGAAAACAGTATTGGTGAGAAAAAGCTGTGCTTAGAATTTTTTTTCTTTTTCCCCCATCACTACAGTGCACCTGCTCATTCTTCAAGGGTGGTAAAAAAAAAAAATCAAAGAACTGAGAATTTCATTGAGAAACTTTACACATTTCACTCTACAGACCTAATCTTGCCTCTTCAGATTGTTCTGTTACCCCCAAAACAAAGAAAAATTCAAAGGACATGCTTTGAGTGCTCAGGAATGCCCAAACGGCTTGAATTCACAAGGTATAAAGTGAAGAGGCTTATATAACTATTCAGGGAGGAGTTAGAGAGATGGGAATACCACCGCCGGAAGTATGTAGATCTAGTTGGATGATATGTTGAGAAACAATAGTTTCACACGTTGATATTTTGTTTAACAAAGGTTTGGATGAATTTGTAGCAATACTTTACAAACACATGTTGTTTACAAGGAGAAAAAAATGGGAGCAAAATATGAGTTTTCATCCTCATTTAGAACATTTTTCATAATAGTCACTAAAGCTCAGCTAGCTCCAGGAGGCCTCTTAAGCCCCTTTCTGGAGTGCCACCTCGTGGATCACAAAGATCTCATCTCTATTTCATAGCAAGTTGAGATTCCACCAAGTTGTGGAAAACGTATCCCCAGGTAGACACTGCTATCTTCCACATCCTTTATGGGAGTTGCTCTTTTTCTCACTCCAAAACAAAAAAGTGCCGGGATTACTTTCTCCTGAGGAAAAAATACTAGAGAAGGAAGCAGACCACACTTGCTGTCCTAAGCTCATCGCGGCCTTTCCCTCAGAAGAGAAACACCAGTTTTGGTTGGTACTAAATTCTCTTAAAAATGGCAACTTCTTGGTTTTGTTTTATGTGTTAGAAAATTCCATTATATTTTAACAGTTGTATTGGCGTGTAATGCATGTACCATATAATCCAATCATTTACATATATTAAAAAGTTTGTGCAGTCACCACCACAATCAATTTCAGGACATTTTTTTCATTCTTGGACCCAATATCATGAGCTTCCCATCACCCAATAGCATCTTCTTTGGTCTCAGGATGCATCTGGCACAGTGTAGAGATTCAGAGAATGCACTATGGGCCATCTTTGTGAAATCTGGATGAACAGTGTCCTCGTCTCCACAGGGCCACTTGTCAAGAGACTATCCTTTCCCACAGCCGGGAACCCCTGAATTCACTCATCGGCACAGGGACACCTAATCGGGGTCGCGGACTGGCCACCTTGAAGTGAAAATGACTTCAGAAGGACAAAAACAGAGTCTATCTCTCTGATCTCTACTCATATACGTTTATATCTGAGTTCTTTATTACATATTTCTGTAACAAAATAATATCAGGCATTTAGTTATTTAATAAAAAATGTTATTATGCAACTGAAACAAGTAAAGCAAGGCATCATATGTGCAAGACTTACCTCATCTGGTAGGGAATAGATGGTAATGTTATTTGAAAATTCCTGGTCTCCAAAGAACACAGTCCCTTGGACCGGAAACACATCCTGTGTAAAATCTGGAGTAACCACCCAGGACACACTAATGTCACCAAAGGTACCTCGATTTCTTATCAGATCATAAACAGCTGCGAAATACAAAAGTACGTAATCCATATAAATATACATCAAACAATTTTTGAAAGACGGCTAAGAAATTGTTGAATTATGTAAAAGTAAAAACAAGACTGTTCTTCTTTAAATAAAGGCCTATCTTATCAGAACTGTCTACAAGGCACATACAAAAATGTGTTAACTATTTGATGAAATGTTATTTTTTTAACTGTATTAGGCTATTCCTACCACGGCAGACCTATACTCAACTCACTGCCATCGAGTAAGTGCTGACTCATAGCAACCTCCTCTGGGTTTCCAAGACTGTAACTGGTTACAGGAGTAGAAATCCCAGTCTTTCTTCTCTGGATGGCGGGTGGTTTAGAACTGCTGATTGTAGTTAGCAGCCCAATGAGTAACCACTACCCCACCAGGATTCCTTCAGTAGACCTAGCTGGATTAAATAAATACAGTCAACTATTTCTATCATCATTTGGGATTTTAAAGGTGATTCACCATTAAAAGCAGACTGTTCATTAAATAGATGCACCTATCACAATTCTACAAGGAGATCTGGTAATGCAGCAGGTTAAGCCAGGGTGCCCGTTCAAATACACTAGCCACACTATGGAAGAAAATGGAGACTAACTGCTCAGTAAAGATTTAAAGTTTCTGAAACTGTGAGAAACAGTCCAACTTTGCCCTTTAGGGTCACTATAAGTCAAAACGTACTCAATGGAAATGGCAAGATCAAGAAATCCTACAAAGGCATTTGCTGTAGGCCGCTACGCAAAGCTGCACATGTAAAGCTATTTTCTTACTTAGCCAAACACTGCTTTTGAAAGAACATACTCCTCATTTCTTGTTACTTTAAGGGTTCTCTAGCACTGCCTCAGTTTTTAAAGTTCCTCTATTTGATTGGGCCCACTGTTGGGGGTTTGAGTTCTACTTCATAAGATGAACTGAAGTCAAAACATGACAGCTATCATCAGTAGCATCTCAATACTATGTAAGAAAAAAAAAGTGGACGAGAGTAAAAGAAATCAAATTTCTGAACTATAGGCAATTTCCAAGGCAGAATGGCAGTTGAACATAGTTAATAAAAATAAAGATTAATTTATTTCTTCTTAAGAAATTGTAGAATATAAGGAGAATAAATTACCACTGTGGGTGTCTTCGTCTTTACTTTCATTGATCAAGATGATTAAGCCATCAGAAACAAATCCTATGGCTCCGTGAGGATCATCATTTTTCAGAATTGTGATGTTCACAACCGCAGCACTTCCCAGCTTGCTTCCCCATTCGCCATGGCTGCTGAGGACCACCCAGTAGTGTTCATCCAACTGGAGAGAGCACAGCACATGAAGAACAAGAGAGGGCTGAACTGTATGGAGTTCACAAAACAGATCAACTCGAGGATATCTTTCTATTCAGTTATTCAAAAACAATGCAGTAAACAACAAAAGAACTGACATTATTTTAAATATTTTTAACATTCTCCCATCAGTTAAAATAATAGGTGTTAGCATATAGTGTGCAAAAAGAGGAAAAATTGAACATCACAATAACTTAAAATAGTGAGAAGACTGGACTCCCTTTATCTCTAGTGTTCTGGTCATTTACAATAATGCCTTAATAAAAGACATTCAATTCAAAAGCTATATACGAGGGGGCACCCCCAAAATTGATTTTTTTCAGTTTTTTGGGTTTTTTTACAACACAACCTTATCACCTTGAAACTACTCTCCATTACACTCCATACATTTTCCAACTGCGATTCCATTGTGGGAAACATTTTCAAACTCATCTGTTTCAGTGGCTGGCAGGACCACCCTCATTTTTTCCTTTACCTCTTTTACACTGTCATGTCCCTGTTCTTTCATGTCCCTCTGCAGTCACAGAAACAAAAAAGTTGCATGGAGTGAGGTCAGGTGAGTAAAGTGCATGGGCCAAGAGAGGCATGCTGTTTTTTGCCAAAAATTGGTGCACTGGGATGGCTGTGTAAGCAGGTCCATTGTCATGGTGGCAAAACCAGTCCCCTCTCTGCAACAAATCAGGCCTTTTTTGTATCACACTGTCATGCAATCTTTTCAGAACCTCTAAATAGAAAGCTTGATTAACAGTCTGACCGGGTGGAATGAACTCCACATGCACTACTAGACGCCATTTTGTCCTTTGGGGAAGTTAACGATGTCCAGAACAAGGTTTACCATCAATCCACATTTCACCTTTTTTGAAACGAGAAAACCACTGTACACTTGAGTTTTTCTCATAGCGCTGTCCTTGTAAGCTGTGTTCAACATCACAACAGTTCATGCGGCATTTTTCCAGAGCAGGAAACAACATTTCACAGCTGCATGCTGCTTTCCCAGCCATCACAAAATACGAGGGTCTAGCGAGGCTGCTTTTACAAAAAATTCACTGTGACCAGAGAGAATCAGGCAATACCACTGGGTGCACTAATTCAGAGCAAGTTGCTCAATGCTCGCCTAGTGGGGGCGTGGGGGTGGACAGGGATGCATAAAAAAGCTCTGTTCTAAAAAATCTTACCATAGTGAATGAGGGGGGAGTGCGGAGTGGAGACCCAAAGCCCATTTGTAGGCCACTTGACATCCCCTTACAGAAGGGTCTCAGGGAGGAGACAAGCCAGTTAGGGTGAGATATAGCAACGATGAAACATACAATTTTCCTCTAGTTCCTAAATGCTTCCTACTCCCCTCCCACCCCCCCACCCCCCATCATGATCCCAATTCTACCTTGCAAGTCTGGCTAGACCAGAGGACATACACTGGTACAGATAGGAACTGAAAATACAGGGAATCCAGGGCAGATGATCCCTTCAGGACCAGTGGTGTGAGTGGTGATGCTGGGAGGGTAGAGGGAGGGTGGGTTGAAAAGGGGGAACCGATTACAAGGATATACATATAACCTCCTCCCTGGGGGACGGACAACAAAAAAGTGGGTGAAGGGAGACGTCGGACAGTGTAAGATATGACAAAATAATTTATAAATTATCAAGGGTTCATGAGGGAGGGAGGAGTGGGGAGGGGGAAAATGAGGAACTGATACCAAGGGTTTAAGTGGAGAGCAAATGTTTTGTGAATGATGATGGCAACGAATGTACAAATGTGCTTTACACAATTGATGTGTGTATGGATTATGATAAGAGTTGTATGACCCCCTAATAAAACGATTTTTAAAAAAAAGCTCTGTTCTGCCTAATGCAATTCCGGGGTTATTTTTGGTATCCCCTCATATATACTGATGTGTAAGCATAACAGGACTCTCCTTGGTTCCACTAATATAAATCAAATTTACCTCCTATGAAAATAATTTTACAGCATCACTTCATCAGTTTAAATCCCTGTCATTAAAAGTTAAGTCCGGCCACCGCGGCAGCGATCGAAGAGTAGCAGCCATGGCTGTGCGCTACCTTATGGCTGTGGGCCTCGACAGGGGCCACAAGGTGACCATGAACGTGAGCAAGCCGAGGCCCAGCCGCCGCCGCGGCGCCTCACCAAACACACCAAGTTCGTGCGGGACATAATCCGGGAGGTGTGTGGCTTTGCGCCCTAAGCGCGAAGCGCCATGGAGCTGCTCAAGGTCTCCAAGGACAAGTGGGCACTAAGTTCATCAAGAAGCGGGTGGGCACACACATCCGGGCTAAGAGGAAGAGAGAGGAGCTGAGCAACGTGCTTGCTGCCATGAGGAAGGACGCTGCCAAGAAGGTCCGAGTGCCATGTCATCGTCCACCCCCCACCCCCAATAATAAAGCCTTTCCAGAAAGAAAAAAAAAAAGTTAAGTCCATAGAAATTACATAATAAGTTAACAATAAACAAGAAAAGATGAAAACTGATCACACACTGACAGTTTCAGATTAACATTTCTGTATGTCGCACAAAAAGACACCATTTAAGCTTTAATGAGTCTTACTTTGTTTTTTAGCTTCCCCCCCCCCCAGCCAAACATAAATACTGTACAATCCTTTCTTGCCTTTCGATCCTTTTGTACCTCTTTGCAAATACACAAAATTTTTATCTTAGATCACATCAACCATCAGCCAAAGCACAAGAGTAAAAGAAGCTCCGGTACCTCTGGTATTCCATCTAATCTGGTTAGCAAGGTGACCACAATCTCCCTCTCCCCAGGCTGAAATTCCAGGACCCCCATGTTTCCATAGAATTCATTACTGTCTCTTGGCTCCACGCGGTAGTGTAGAAACTGCTTTACAAGAGCCCCCCGGGATCGGATGATGTGCACTTCTACAGCTTCCCCTTCCTTAAAAGAGAAAGGGGGAAAAATCACAAATACTCAAGTCCTTCTCAATTCCATTCTCCTGAAGCTGTGATCAGCGGGGCAACTGGGCTTCCTTCATACTTACGTTTATAACATAAGGTCCTCGAGAAGACGGAGAAAACTCAAAAACTCCCCCAGGATCATCATTTTCCAAAATAATTAGATCCCGACTAGTATGTCCGGATTTCAGCACTTGATTTTCCACACTGACCCTGTCAAAGTCAGGGACGAAAAAGGTACCAGCTAATTATAATTTTACTTTTAAATTTTCTAGGCTTATAAGATAATATTTATACCATGCACAAAGAGTAATGGAAAGGGAAGTGACTAGGAATTAAAATTGAGTTTAAGTGTCTTAAGTTCACTTAAAATCAAAAGTTTTACTCACAGCCCTTATAGGAAGACTATTTCCGAATTCACTGTTAAGTTGTTTTCTTTGAAACCAGCACCACATCTATATATCAGAAATACGGTAAACCAAACGCTGTAAGTGAACTACATTTTATTTTTAAGAAGAAACAAAAACAATTTGTTTCCACATTATCAGAAAAACTATAATTTGTTATACTAAGTAAAAAAAAATGATACCTGAACATTTCATTATAATTTTATATTCATTTGAATGTCTTTAAGAAGTATACTGCATAAATTGCTAATAACTTGCAAAGAAGTTGTGTAACTGCATGGATTAAAGTTAGCCAAATGAATTAAAAATAAACAATGCCATAAAACTGATTCTGTTTTGGCAATAATTTGTGTCCCTTAAAGTGTTTTCTGTTCACTTCCATTTTAAACTCATGCAGAGTTTTTTTCCCTTTTATAATTACACAAAATTTGGACATAAGAGAGGGAAAAAATTAATAAGCTAGGACAGATCTAGGGCGCAAGGCATGTTATAACAATTCTTATGTTGTTTTTGTTGTTAGCTGCCATCAAGTTGGTCCCGACTCATAGCAACCCTATGGACCAAGCATGATGTCCTTATATATACCTCAAAAAGGAGATATTAAAACAAGATGTTTCTGGTTTTCAATTTCCGGGGTTTATGCTCAGTGTGTAATTAGAATGATCAAAGGGACTTAGACTGCAAGGCTCTGTGGGTTTAAAAGCCAGCAGGCTCCTAGAGAATTCTCAATCCTGCAAGCTGCTCTAAACCTTTCCAAATGTCACTTCCTCCTGAACCAGAGTACTCATGATCAGACCTCAAAATCACAATGAAGCTACAATTATTATGTAGAAAGCACAGCTAACTTCCTATGCAATATATAATCTGAATTAATATCCTTCCCTACATTTTGAAAATGTGCAGCAATACTTAGCATGTGGTTAGCTACAGAAGAGATACTCCAACTAACAGGGCAGTTCTTTATCATCTTGTTCATGAAGGCATGATTTTCACGGCAAATATGCCTATATCTCTTTGATATTAATATTTTCATTTTTAAAATGCCCTATGTCCACACAAGCTAGAAGATAAGAAAAATGGAGCAGAACCCAAAATATCACAGTCCATTCTGATCACTGAATGAATAAATTTATCTTTAGACTTTCTTAAAGCATACCAGCCCTTGTTATAAAGGCAAGTGTTGAAAAGTTCTGTCTGCAACAACCAAGGTATAGGCAAGAAAATGCTCAGATACACTCAGAAACGCCATGGAAGAGATGAGCCAATTGTTTGCTATTTCTCTGTTGAACAAACTGCAGGGTGTATTAAGGATCTTGTGTGAGAATTTCAAAAGCAAGACACACTCCTTGTTCTCTGGGTTGTGTATAGCCATAAAGAAAGTTAAAACAAGCCCTTCCAATGGCTAGCTGGGCTGCCTGGCTTGTATTGTACCACATTTACAATGTAAACATATAGGTATACTACTCCTCCAACTGCCGTCAACTAGTCTAAATATATTCATAATTTAAAACGCTTATAACAACAACCCAAACCCTCCATTGTCAGTAGACTGGAACGACACACAGGGCATGCACAGGCACATGAACAAGCAGAATCCCTACAGGACCGTGGGTCATGCAGAAAGACAGCCTCGTCCAACACAATCACTTGCAAAGCAAAAATGCTGAAAAATCGACAATAAGACTTTATTGTGTACACTTACCCAAAATATACCACAGACCTTTCCGTTTCTACCCTGTTAACACAAAAAGACGTGTGGGAGGGGGGAAGAGGCGATAGGGACACTATTTGCCAAACTCTCGCTCATACTACTAGAAACGTCGAGGGGCAGAGAAAAATAAGCTAAAGAAAGCCCTTCATTTTTTTTGACCCAGGAACTATCAATGTTGACTTTATGGGAATGCTGCACATTGGCACTTTCTATTGACAATTGCTAGCAAGGGCTCCGTGGTTCCCACGTATGGACGATGACCCCATGGCCAGATGGCACGTGAAGACTCATTCAAGCCATTCCTTCCCAGGCCTCCTCCACGGCGCTGGTGCTTGCCAACCGCTGAACAGACTCACAGACCGCAGCAGCTGAGCAAATTTCATTCAGCCTATCTAGAATTACTTAGTCGCTTTAATTAGGGGGCTTTTTACAGGAAAAAAAAAAAAAAAAGGAAACCTCAATCCTCAGATCTAAATAAACCCTGCTGTTCTTTGAGTTAGAAAAAATATGTAAGCCGAGAAATACACACTTTTCATCCTTTGCCTGGAATACACTCAAGGGAGGATAAAATATCATGATGTTCATAAATAATGACAAATATTACTTAAATACAATTTTTATCAAGAGACCTAAACACTATCCTAACTCTCCAATTTATTCCATTTCTAAAGCCTTGAAAGCATCAAAATGTATAGCTCTGGTTTTTTAAGTCAAATATATATTTACAGACATGGGGTTATATAGCACATATGAAGTTGTTTCTGAGTGGAGACACCTAAACAATATAACATTTTTAATTAGTATGGTTTGAATGCCTCAAAATTTACTTAGGACTAAGACAAATTCTACTTATGCCTGGTTTCCTCAAAGATTGCTTGCTACTAAGACAAGTTTTACGTTTGTTTAGTTGGAAAAAGAGAGTATTTGAATTTGACATTAGGAGACCAATTTACACTCTATCACAATAAAGCATTCATTATTTTTGTTACAATATTCTTGTATAATGACTTAGTATTGTTTATTCATTCTTGCATTTTAATTTCATTACAAATTTGCAAAAGAGCATGCTAGTTCAAATCGGATTTTTTTTCTCATATTTTATTTAACCAATTATGTCTTAGAAACACTCAAGTGTTATTTTAAAAGCTCATTCTTGCTCATACACAGTTGAGATATTACAAGAATTCTCTAGTTTCTAATTGAATTAGGGCATTTTAATAAGCATACAAATTAATTTCCTCTTTTTGAAATAAGATGAACCATTAATTTCTGAAAACTTTTATCCTATGATTGAGACTTACTTGGGTATTATTTTTACCCACAGGAGAGAGAGACAAAAAATAAAATACTTAAAAATGCGTTTAGTTCATTTCAAATGTTTCTATAATCGAGTCTTACAAATGACTGACTTGGCAAGCATGTAGCTATAAAGAAAAGCCATGCATTTTCAGTGGGTTTAAATCACTCTTTGAACATTTAAAGCAGAGCAGAGACCCCCAGCTGAGCTTGTAAATTTCACAGTTTTAGATCACGATTATTCTTCATATTTCAGATTTTGAAGAATTAATAAGTATTCAGATCTCTTTTAAGGAAAAAAGCATAAGTAAAAAATTCATCATAGTATGTACTTCACAGATTGTTTCTATCATACTATGCACCTTCCTTTAGAATTTATTACATAGCATATATCAGACTGTAAGTCACTTGGATTTATTCTTCTTAACTTGTGTCTTGTTTATATTTTTGCATTTTTGTTTCAATACTTTTTATTTTTACTTTTTCATATGAAAGAAAGTAAACATAACATTGCTGTCTCAAAACAAACAAAAGTGTCAGTGGGTATTCAATAACTGGTTTTCTACATTCTGTATCTTCCCTCTACATAAAATTTAAGTTTTTGTAAACGACTGCTTGTCAGCTTTTTAGAGTTATGTTCCTCTTTTGTTTAAGCAGAAAGAGGTTAGCTGAAATGCAGCTAGACAAAATGTCTACCAAAAACAAGAGATTGATAAGAATAGAGGAAAATAAACAGAGGCTACAATATTTACTACTTCAGCTCTGATTAACATGGGTCAAAATATCATTTGTCAAATTACTTTGTGATTTTGCTGTTTCTCAAGTATAACAAAGCCTGTCACACCTAATCTTCTCTGACAGTCTCCACTGTAACATAAGTAGACCTGCACTACAACAGTTTGCTTCTGATTTGTAAAAAGCACCCATCAGCATCGATTAAACAACATAGGATTTTGTTTGATTTTTACTGAAAAAAAAAAAATTTCTTTGAGAATGGCATCTCTTCTTAATATAAATTACCCAATGACGAACGCCAAGTAAATCTTTATTAGAGAAAAAACACTTACATTTTGTATTATTTCTGATTGCCTGACAATTATGTATTGTTTAGCATTCTATGTAAAGAAAAGAATTTCATTATGTGAAGATTAAAAATTTCATTTTACTTACTCAAAAGACTAATCCTCACCTTTATTAAAAACAGAAGCTAACAGAGTTATTTGCTTAATTAACCTAACATTTTAGATTTGTTGCTGCCATTCTGAAACATAGCAACCTATTAACTATGCTTTAGAGTTAACCAACACCTCCCAAACTCTCCTTGTAATACATCACAATAAAAAGTGCTGCAAAATTTCTCTGGAAAATATAATATTTGGTCTAAACAAACCAACAACAAATAACAAAAGAAGGCCAGCATAACATTATCTCTTTGCTTTTTCTCAACAATATGTGGAGGAAAAAATTAATATCAAAAGTTAATCAAGAGAGTATGGATATATAAACATCACTAAATGTAATCAAAAGGAGTTATTACCTGTCTAGAGAAAGTGTTACGGTTTCATTCATTTCTGGTATGTCATCAGCTTTGACAGTAATGTTGATTGTTGTGTCACTTTGTCCAGATAAAAACACAACAGAGCCATTAAAGGGACCTATATCATCCAGGGTCACTGCTTTTGAATTAAAGCCAGAGGGCTTTAAACTCCAATAGACAGTAGCCTGCCCATCTGTTCCATCCCGATGTAAAGGAATGTATATCTTTAAAAGAGAAAGTGAAAGAACAATTTCCTCTGCAATACATACTCCTAAATTATATAAGCATTGCATTTCATAAGTGCACCTCATATTATTTCCTGTGCTCCATATAGAAAAGTGAGCTATTAAATTCCATTAGTATTATAAGGGAACAAATCTTTTTAAGGCTGAAAGTATATTAGACACATTTTGTTTTACTAATCAAATTAATCTACAACTTTATCCACAACCAAAAATGTGCCTATCCAAGGACTTGTCTCAATAAAATAGATATATTTTAAAAGTCCAATAATCTGGAGAGCATTGACCAAGCTTTCTAAACAATAAATTTCCATGAGAGGTTCTCTGGAAAAGAATTAATATAATATGCCATTAGAAGCTGAAAAGAAATGTCTTTATAAAACCTGTAAATTATACATAATGTAAAATGCTTCCCAATGTGATAGGGGGAGGGGGGAATCCACCCAATTAAATAAATACTCACATCACAGCTCTAGGTTACCTTAAGCAAATTAACCTCTCTGAACTAAATTTCCTCATATGCAATGAAGCTAATGGCACCTACATTTCAAGTCCTTTAAGTGTGTAGGACAGCGTTTCTGCAGAGTAAGCGCTAAATCAATGGAAGCTATTATAAATAACTGTGAAAACATGCACTTGCCACTTTCATTTAAAGCTAGCATTTTCAATATACCTAATGAAAAAAATCATTGCAATCGTAATGATATGCTACTACGCTCATGAGAGGCAGCCTCTTTATGACTTGTCCTTTAACATACAGGATGGGGTTCTAACATTTTTGTAGAAAACAGAATTAAAGGACAGTGGAATTCTTCCATGAACTTTGTGAAGCCCCTTTGTACTATCTTAAAATAATGGAAGGCATTTTCACCAATAAGCATTCTGCTAATTTGGCCAGCAATAGTAAAGCCTGTAAATAGTGACTGAGGTAAAATTCAAAGCAAAGTCAACAAAGTCACGGTGGGCCAGGCCACTGAGCCATCTGGAAGGAGTGCATGTGATGAGGACAACTGATGGAGCAGTGAACAAAGAGAAACTCCTACGTTGGGGGTTTCCCAAAAAGGGAGGAACACAGCCTCACGGAGGCCAAAACATACCTTCGAAGCCTCAAAGGAAAAATAGGAAATGGAAAATGTATAGCTTTATAAGATAAGCAAATAAAAGCAATCCACTCTTTTAGAACAATTGAAATGCTCTCCTAATACAACAGAAAACAATGTGTATGCATTTTTTAAAATGGAGCTTCCCTGTCTATTTACAGAATCAAACAAAGGAATGACACCATATTTTGACATGAGGTTTTAATAAAATCAACCCTCCTCATCCTTATCTGAACTCAACCCAATTTAAATTAAATCTACGTGTGAGATACCTGGAGAGAGTCGCAGGGACAGATTGTGCTCCTGAGAGGCAGTGCTGTCTCTAGATCGGTGGAAACTGACCAATTCAACAAGGTGTCTATGGGATGCATATTCGGAAGGAGGGGTGGGAAATCTTGTATATCTGTATATACAACTCTCATATGTACATATATATGTATTTGTGTGTGTATGCACAAAATCTGATTCAGTATCCCTGAACTGTAACCTCTACCAATTACACAGCCCAAGACAGACTTCTCCTTCCTATCAATGAATTCATCTGAAAATCTGAAAGACAGGGTAGGTCAAGGACACGTGTGGTACCTGGCCCGGCCTTAAAAAAGCAAAACAAAATAGTTTATGTGTGACTATCACTATATCAAATATCATGTTGTGGTTAGGTGCCACAAGTCAGCTCCGGCCCAAAGCGACCGTATGTACAACAACAAAACACTGCACAGTGTGTCGCCACCCTCACAATTGTTCCTACGCCTGAGCCTGTTGGTGCAGCCAGCCTGTCACTTCTTCTTTTCGAGGACCTTCCTTTTCTCACCGCCCTATACTTGACCAAATATGACATCCCTCTCCATATTCTCTCCTGACATCTGTCCAAAGTATGTAAGATGAAGTCTTACATCCTGGCCCCTCAGGAGCCCTCTGGCCTTACTTCTTCCGATACAGCTTGTTTTGTCCTTTTAGCAGACCAAAGTACTATCAATTTCCTTTCTAGCAGCACAATTCAAATGCAGTGTTCAATATCATAGCACTGTTAAAAGCAGCAACATCAAAATATCCTACATCCTCTGTCCACAATTAATTCTACTTTTATTCAATTGAATATGAAAAAGGACCATGAGAAATCATACACTTGTCAATTACTTGAGTCAAATTATATATTCAAGTTTGCTGTAAATGAGGAAGCTTTTCAAGATCTATGAACTCCATATACTAGCGTCAATACATATATATATATTCTATACATAGCTCCAAACTCTATTAGACCCCATCATTAAGTAAAAACCTACTTACCACTTCAGCCAGGGAATCTTCTGGTTCATGCAAAATGATTGGAAGACTGCTAGTAAAACCAATTTCTCCATTTGCAATGTCTGGAGTAATGAGTAAAGAAATATTTTGAATTTTTCCAAGTCTAGGACTTACAGGTGGGATTGGAGGCCTGATGTTCACCAATTCCACATTCTCCAACTGTTAATAAATAAAAATAAACAAAAACTCTAAAATGAAGAATAAAAACTTTAAATTAAAAAAAAAACTTTAATATATGGGGTAACAAAATGTTACAATTAAGTTAACAATTTAATTATCCTCCTGTATAATTCACCGTCTCTTAGCAATTGCCTGCACTGGCTTTTTTTAGCTTTTTCTTGCCACAAATAGAATTGTTCCTCAGAATTCTTCCAAATCCTGTATCTTATAATTTTATACCTCCATCACAATAATAGTTATATCTCTTTTTCAAATTTGAAATTCTGGACATTATAAGACTGTCACAAAAACACCCCACAGCTATTATGTTTTTGGCTCTAACTGATGATGACTCCCCCCACCCCCGATATACAAAAAGACTGGTCCATAGAGTTTTGATTGACTGAATTTTCAGTAGTAGATGACCAGGCCTTTTTCCCTAGTCTGTCTTAACTCTGAACGCTCCAAAGGAGCATATTCAGCATCCTAGCAACATAAAGCCTCCACTAGCCAACAGATGGCATTGGCATTGGCCAATCATATGGACAGATGGTCCAAAATGGCAATCTCTACCTCTGGTCCACGTCCCCTCCTCACCACAATCACCACTACCACCACCTGCTTTTCCTTCATTGGCCTATCCCAAGTTTCTTGACCTTAAAGCCAAAGCTCAGAAAGTTGGCTACACACCTCCTTCTACTGATTCAACTAAACATTCCCCTTCAATTACAGGAAAATAGACTATCAGAACTCCAAACTGTAACTCAATATGCCGTTTAAAGAAAGGCAACACATATACACACACAGTGCCGCTGTAACAAATGAACACAACCACCACAGTAACTTTTCATGGTGTTTTCCTCACCCAGAATGCCTCTCGCTCTCATCTCACAAGTTCAAAACATGCCCATGCTCAAAGGCCGACTCAATTTCTGTACTTTTCCATGAAGATGTCCTTGGACATCCCAGTCCTCTGTATTCTACTATTTCCAAATTATTACTTTTATCCTCACTGAACCTAAAATTTAATTAAAAATGTTTTGTTTCATGGATTTCTCATTTGAAGACCTGGCTGGGAAAAATGGAGTTGCCATGAATTAGAATCAACACAATAGCAACTGGTTTAGATATTGCTTTTTTATCATTATTGCTTGTGCTCCAGACTTTTACACAGTTTTACTTCACCCAGGACTGTGGACCTCTTGAATGATTACATTATTTTCTTTTTTATTCCTAGCACATTACATAGCCTCAAGAATGCGTTAGACAAACAAAAGGTATTGGTTGATTTATCCCTGAAACCTAAACTGAGCTCTACTGATACATCGAAAGCCTTCAACTGCTTACAGGTTCCTACTACAAAATTTGAACTCACTTGAAATTTTTAGAAAGAAGACTACAGAAACCATAGATATGTAGGCCACCATAATCTTAACGAGCCACTGTGGATCTCCTCTCCTCTGTGAGCCTTTGTAATGTGGAAAGGAAGCCACGACATAGTCACCAATAGAGACCTGTGATTAAGCTGCTATTTTCACAGGTGAACATAAACGGTGCTGCTGACTGCCCCACATACTTTCACACTCTGTGGTGAATAATATGTTTTTAAAGGGAAAAGGTAAACATCTCTTCAAAATGTCACATATTTTGAAAACGAGATAAAAGAGAAAGATATTTTTTAAAGCCACAATTGGTATTCACGTTCATAAGAGATAAAAGGTGCTGGCCTCACCAGTGTCCTGAAACACTGAGTAAAAACTGTCATTCTACAGTGATTGTGTGTGTAAACACTCTTCTGCCTGTATAGTCATAAAGAGATAAACTGATTATCGTGTTCAAATACCCAGGAAAGAAACGCAATAGTGTGTTAGTAAAACTTTCTAAAATAAAAAGTTTCTTCATAGTTACTTTCATCACACACACAAAGCACTGCTCATAGATATTTTATTACTGAGCGGTAAGAAGAAAGAAGACAGCGAAGGCTCAGAAAGCAATGACTCAAAAAGAAAATGTGGATTTTACGTTGCTTCTTTCCTAGTGTCCGTGCCTTTTCCACTGGGATGTTCAGGCATCTGTAAGTGGAGCGACTCCGTTCACGAAGAGTCGGTCTTTGCTTTCAAGTCACTCGCAATGGGACAGCGCATTTCTCACTCCAGGCTGCCAGAGTCGTCTCTCAGACAGAAGTATTTCGCTGAAGAATGAGGTGCAGCTCATGGCTCAGAATCCCCTTTCTTCAGTTTCATTCAACTTGCTTGCCGAGTCTGATGCCTCCCATTCTTGCGCTGCTCATCCATTATGCACTATACAAACTACACAGCCTTCTAATTCCAACCAGCTTCCCAGCCCCACAGCTCTTTTGAATGGCAGGGATGATGTCAGTGCCTAATCAAGCCGCCCACCCCGCCCCGCCCCCTGCCACACAGGGGAGAAGCGAACTGTCTGTCTGCACTGTAAGGCCTTGGCTTTCTAACTGAATACAGAGATAACATAACCAATTGGGTCTGGAATTGGTGGTGTAAACAGCTTTCTAACGCAGCCTACAGCACCACATTCCTGAAGTGCACACTACCTTCAAGTTTTTACTTAGTTCTCAAGGTTATCAAAAAACAAATTATATAGTGATTTGTAAGATGTTGACAGTAAAAGAACTTCAGTAAAATCTGACTCACAGAAACTTCTTATTAAAATGTTGCTTATAGGGGATTTTTCAAAGATATGTTGCTAGAGATATTAGAAGTATTCATAATAGTTTAACAGAGAGGCTACTCATATGAGCATAGATAGATAGATAAATAGATAGATCTCTATCTGCAGTAAAAAAATGGTTTTGAGGTAACAAAAGGAATGAGAGAAAACTAGAATGGAAACAGCATTTCACTGCCATTCAAAGTTAACATTTATGTACCATCACTCTGACAACTGTCACCTAACTCCAACTACTTGCGGAAACATCAGTTGGCCTACTCCTCTCTGAAATCAAATGCAACTGTGTAAAATCTTTACCTCATTTATTTTCATAATTTGGCTTGCATATGAATTGTAGGCTCTGTTAGATTAGAGACAGAGAAAAAAGAACTGAACACTGAGGTGGTAGGGGCATAAAGCCTTAGACACACACTGAGGAGCATGTTCTGATTTCAAAGGACACCAGTAGCCGAGAAGACAGAGAGCACTAGCACCCAAAGTCCCAAATACCCAGTGGACATTCCTAAATTCTACAAGTTCATTTGCCTAACAATTATCTCCAAGAGACACCTTCCAATTTCCCAGTTGGGGAAATGCTACCCCAAGTGAGAACTCATGAAATTGGTAGGCATTTTCATATTCATAGAATCAATTTAAAGTGCAAACAAGATATGAAAAGTTTTTGCATAAAGTCCAGCTTAAATTGTTTTGTTTTAGGTTCCTAAATATTGCTCTAAATATGCTCAGGTGGCAGCATTCTACTTGTTTTAACTTCTGGCCAATGGCTTGAACACGCTCTATTCTACTTGATTTGATCTAGATCCACCAACCTCTGGCCAGTCATCTCAAAAATGCATTCCATCAACTAGAGGAAGAAATGAAACAGCTAAGAATAGGTCCAGTTTGATATATCAACCAGAGAAGAATAACTCAAAAGTCATTCAAAGTGTTTGTTGCCTCACAAACAAAAGCATGCACCATAATAAAATTTCCCCAGCAAGCTCAAGGAGAAAACAATAGGACCAACAGTCCCAGGGGGCCTTGGGGGAAGAAGGGGACAGGAGAGGGGGGCGGTGGGCAAACAACACCAGAGATAGGGGAACAACTAGGGAATAAAAATCAATAATAAAGAGTATATGGAGATCCTGGGGGCACTGGAGCAACAGCAATCTAGGTGAGAGGAAGTACTATGAGGCAGAAGTAGGGTGAGCGTGATGGTGGGACAGAAGGAAGGTAAAAGGAAACAAAGGAATGCTCTAGGAAGCAAAGCTATGGATAGAGGTATAAGCATAGGTGTGTCCACATGTAAATACATTAATCCATAAAAATAGAGGTATTGGCCTATGTACATATATTTGTATGGCAATACACTGAGGTAGTGGATGGACTTTGGGCCTCTGCTCCTACCCTCCCCCAATACAAGAACACGTTGTTCTAACAAATTGGCAATCTGAGATGCTCACCCTCCTGACACAATCGCTGAAGACAAAATGGGTGCATAAGCAATTGTGGTGAAGAAAGCTGATGGTGCCCGACTATTAAAAGATTTAGCGTCTGGGGTCTTAAAGACTTGAAGGTAAACAAATGGCCATCCAGCAGAGAAACAACAAACCCACATGGAAGAAACACACCAGCCTGTGCGATCTGAGGTGTCACTGGGACCAGGTAACAGGCCTCAGAAGACCCTTAACAATCAAACAAACAAAACTATATGGTTGAGAACGAGGCGAGTCGGAGCAGAGAACCAAAGCCCATCATTAGACAATGGAACATCCCCCACAAATTAAATAAATCTAGATTAAACAAATGTATAGAGATAAAATTTCATTCAGGGTCACCAGCAGCTGGGGAGTGAAGAGTGGGGCTTTACAGTTTTCAGGAGATACTGAATTTCTGCTGAGAGTGATGAAAAGCTTTTTGGAAATGGTAGTGATGAGTGCACAACAAGGTGAGTGTATTTAATGTCACTGAATTTTAAACTTACAATGACAACATTTTGTTATAGATATTTCACAATATTTTTTAATTAAGAAAAAATTCCCCATTGACAAAAAGCACTTTGAAAAATTAATAATTATGATGAACAGGATCTCTCTCAGCTAGTTACAAAGTCGTTGGCTAATCCGGGGAAAAAGCATCCTTCTAGGTAGGCAAATTACCCTAAGTAGTGAGGAATAATACATTCCCATAGAAAGCATCCATGGCCCCATTGGCCAAGAGTCCTCATGGAAAACCCTGAAGCGCACAAGCATGAGCAGTGGCTCAGCTAAAACAGGCAACGGTCTTCAGAAGGAAAGACACATCCCACTGAGTGCTGAGCATCTGCCTGTGAAATTCAGACCATGAAGGGAAAATGTGAGAAACTTTCGGAGCTAAAGAGCAAGTTACATACAAAGGCAAAGAATTTTTGAACCCTCACATTTCTCATCAATAACTGTGGATGCTAAAAAAATACAATACCTTTCCAATCTCAAAAAGAATAGCGTTATCAATGTATAAGTTTCTATCCAAAGCGAAACTGCAAGGTAAGTATGAAATAAATTTGTAACTGTTCAAAAACTCCAAAGTTTACCTTTACCCTTTTTGCATTCAGTATTTGAAGATAGGTATATCACAACTAAAATAAAACATGATACAAAACTAGCATGTATGAAGTACGCATAGGAAAACAGCACAATTAGGCTCAACATTCAATGTATATTATAAGATAGCTGGAAGATAACATTAGCTAAGTGAAGATGGAAAATAGGAAAAGACTAATTTGAAACTCCAGGGCAAGCAATGGTATATTATAAAACAAAGACTTGAAACAAATACGAACATTTCAAATGTGCCAGGATTCAAAGAAATCCATTCACTTTTTGGCCTATCTTTTTTTCCCCTATTTTTAAATCTTCCTATTAGCAAAGATAACAGTGACTTAAAATGTTCTCTATTGAGCCATCCAGACTTGGGTCTACATTGTTTACTTATCTAATTGAAATTTGATAAGACTTTTATTACTTTCTGTTTTTAAGGATAAGTCAGTATCAAACACATGAAAAGCCTATCACAGTATCAAACATGAAATGTAGATGTTTTACACTTGGACAATAAAAAGAATGTTTTGGTTATAAGAAATAAAAGACATACAGTGGAAGGAAATGTTATGAGGAGCTTAGTGCTTCGTATTAAATAGTCCAAAGCCCAGAAATTATATACACAATTAACAGACAAAGAATTGTCAATTTGAATATATTGATCTAAAAGAATTGGCCAAACTTTCCTCATACTGCCTTTTTATCTGGTAGCCAGCCTTTTCTTGCAACATTCATCATGCAAATCCATACCCAGGGTCGTGTTTTTCCAAACAAACGGCAGAGAATGGCAACTCTCTCTTTCATCCAGCCCTCCTACAGTTTGTTAGTGACCTTACCCATTTTGTTCTAATTTGCATTACTGTGCCTGATATACTTTGATTAACATTTCATGAAAACATGAATCTTCTCAAAGTAAAAGCCTTGTCTTATCTGTCCTTCGCAGTTCAGGAGCAAGCACACTCTCGTTGGTCTAGTTGAACTACTTCAATGACTTTTAGTAAGCAATAGTGAAATCCAAAATAAAAATGAGGTCAAAACAATAAAGAAATACTAAAGGTTTGTTAACTCTCTCACAAGTAAGTACCCTTTTAGTTAAAAATAAATTGGACATCATTTTAATCATTAAGGTACCTGTACTAGAAAGTGGGCTCCATTTTGAAGAAATGCATCGTTTCTAATTGGTAGTTTTGTAGTAACATGAGCTGTGTGCTCAGGGAAGAGGAGACTATTCCTCCTGGATATATTTAAGATGCCATGTGTTGCACGCAAAGGGTCCACGGGTCCGGCCGGAATGTAAAGTGCAGAATAAAGCATCCTCACATCGCCTTTAGTTCCACCTTGTCTTGCAAAGCTCAAAGATAAAAATCGTTCACCTGGGCTGCTTTCAATCTTCTGGTTTTCCACAGGAAAAAATGTTATTAGGCCATAAACATCATCACTATCCTGAATGTAGAACAAAAGCTGCAGATAAGAAATAGAAGATTAAAGGGCAGAATTCGCACATCTGAGCTGGCCGGACTCTCTTTTCTAGGCTGTCTGATTTTTCAACAGAGCTATTTGTAGATCACGTCTAAAAATGATCACTCCTTGTATGAAATAAGAATAAGAGATTAATCAAACGAGATAGGAAACCTTTGCTAAATTTTAGTTTGTCATGATTTTTGAGAGTAAAATATTTCTTTGCAGAAGAGATAACCTTGAGCAAGGGAAACAACAATCATTCCCATCATCTGTGTTCGTCCTGCCAGATGAAATGTAAATTGGATTTATATGCCCCAAATCTTTGACTCTCTGTAACACAGATACCTTCACAAGAGTAAAGTATACTAAGAGATTTACCTCTGCGGGTTCGCTCACTTCTGCACCTCCACGTATTGTGTGAGGCTGAATTTGAAGCAAATAAGCTTCGGCCTCCTCGGGGAGATCATCATTCACGATCGTCAGAGGAATTGGCGCAGTCATCTGCCCTTGGGCAAAATGCAGAACTCCAGAGCTTGGTCTGATATCTGCCGTGACAGGCGAGGGGTCGCTGCTATTTCGTGTCAACAGCCAGCTCACAGAAACATTGCCATGGGTGCCACCGTTCCTGACCACCGTGACTTCCTGGAATCTAGAAGGTTTCAAGATAAAGTGGTTATTAAAAGTATACTCTATGACTCGCAGACAGGCTTTTTCAGTGTCAACAAGTCACCAGCCTCTGGTAAGCATAGAATCTAATTCAGTTTTTCATCTGAGACGAGAGTAAATCTGTGGAGGGGTCCTAGAGCACTACGATAGCATAAATTCATATGCACATTTAAATCAGACCTCCAATAAGAAAAAAACTGGTGAAGCCACGGTAAAGGAAATGTCACATACTCAACAGTCAAGAAATGCATCCACAGTTCAAAACCAACAGCTGCTCCCTGGGAGAAAGATGAGGCTTTCTATTCCCATCAGGAAATGCATATTAAAATAATTAGAAAAGCAAGTTTAAAATGAAACATACCTCGTGGCTGTATCTTCATCTACTATAACTGTCCTTTCAAACAAGATACTGTTGAATGAGAGAACACCATAAGGCTTGTCATTAGGCTTAATGGTGACTTGCACAACAGAAGGGCCTAACAGCACAGCATCTCCTCGTAAGGAGTCCTTCAGCAGCATGACGTGAAAGGATTCAGCAATCTCTGGGATAGAGTCATCAATGATTTGAAATTTTAGGTGTGATTCATGAACCAAAGGTGGAAAAACAATAGTTGTGTGTGGCTGAAGATCAATGAAGTCTACATTTTGCTGGGCGTGTGCTGTTGAGTTCCCAGTTATAACAGCATAACTGATGGAAACGTCATACGCATCAGACCCAATCAGATGCCCACTATCATCCTTTCCACGAACTATAGGAATTAGGAGAATATGATCTTCCTCAGGAACCATAAAAATGCTCTGAGTAAATCGTACAGGACTGTCATTTTTCTTAATGATGATTGCAACTGAGCTCCTAGAGCTGTTGATCTCAGCTCCTCCTTCTAAACTTTTCAGCTGAATTAAAAACATTTCATCATTTTCAGGTACCTATCAAAACAATACAAACAAAGATAAAACATTCATACCAACAAATACTTGCCCAGAAACCAAGGCATAGAAAGTCACAGCGTTTCAATATAATTACACTGTTGGTTTTTTAAATCATTTTATTGGGGGCTCATACAGCTCTTATCACAATCTATACATCCATCCATTGTGTCAAGCACATTTATACATACGTTGCCATCATCATTTTCAAAACATTTTCTTTCTACTTGAGCCTTGGTATCTGCTCCTCCTTTTTTCCCCTCTCCCCCCCACCATCCCACCCTCATGAACCCTTGATAAATTATAAAACATTATTATTTTCATATCTTACACTGTCCACGGTCTCCAAAGCAAGTGATGTGTTATATAAAGGGGGGATGACAATAAGGCAATGGTGTGCATAAGGAAGAAACAGTAGGAACTACTGTCTTGCACAGAAACAACCCATGCATTCTATAATGTTTGCTTATTTTCTAACAGACATGTGTTTTTTTAAAAATAGCATATCGTGCTCAAGAAAATACCTTGTGGGAGAGGGAGCTATTCTTTGAGCAGGGGGTTTGGGGAGGAGAGAAGAGAGGTATTCTTTGGGGTGGGGGGTGGAATGTGAATAGTTAAAATATTCAAATGAAAGAATATCATTTGTAGAAGAATTTTCTTTGCCGTCATAGTAAAATGTTTATGCTAGATAAATGGTTTCTGCTCAAAACAGCAAACCACCAACAGAAATCAGGCACCTGGGGACCAAATGCTTAAATAGGTTATATATGGCTCCCAATTATATTTCACATCCATCAGCTTTTAGAGGAATAATTCATGTGGAATGAGTAAGGCAAGTATTAATACAATATATCCACCATTGACTCTGTGACCTTGGGCAAGTTATTTAACAACTCTGCAAAGCATTTCTCTCATCTTTAAAATGATCATAATAATATTCACTACATGTAATTTCTATTTATAAAGTATGACTGACTACAAAACACTAACTTTGCAAGAATTCTACAATAATTTAAAGTACTGAGCACAAGTTAATACTTGACATAGCCTCCATAATGCACATAGTATACAATTTCTGTCCCATGTAGGTATTTAACATCATCCCACCTCATCATCAAGTACTGTCAAGTTATAAATTACGGTTGCTCTGCCAGGGAGGAAAGTGATATTTCCTCTAACTGGACTCAAATCTTCTTCAGGTGGATTTGGGCCACCTTCTACCTGCAAATAAAAGTACTCCAATCAATAAATCAGAATGTTATTGTAATGCCAGCTGGCCCAAATTTGAACTTTATGTTTAAATATTTTGACAAATGGAACATATAAACCTGGTGACAGAGAGGGTTACTCATTGGGCTGTTAATCACAAGGTCAGTAGTTCTTAACCACAAGGTCAGTAGTTCAAATCCATTAGCCCCCATATAGAAGAAAGATGAGACTTTCTGTTCTCTTAAGGGTATACATCCTTAGAAACCCACAGGGCAGTTCTACTCTCATATAGAGTCACTACGATTGGAACCAATTTGATAGTTCTCCGTTTGGTTTTTCGTGTTTGTTTGTTTGACCTTGTACATTTGCTCTTCTAATTATTAGTCAGAACCTATAATACAATTCTAGATCCTGACTACAATTACACTAAACAATGTTGCTTCTACGAGTTCTCTGGGTTTTTTCCTCAATCATTAAGCCTGAGAAAGAACAATAAGGACTTCTTGAGAGGAAGAGTTTTCAAAGTTAAATTCCCTTAGGTAACAGAATTCACCACTGGCTATGTGGCCTTGGGCAAGTTATTTAACAATTCTGCACAGCATTTTCCTCTTCTTTAAAATAATCATAATATTCACTTCCTAAACCCGAAATCTCCAGATTTTCCATCTTAGTTATAAGAAATATTTTAATATATCATCTAAATACATATTTCTAAGAAGATAAATATTATTTAAAGCATCTGTATAGAAAACATGTAAGATTACTGCATGTTCATTTCAAGATTAATACATTTTTTCATGCATTACTGTCTCCCATTTTCTTTTTTCATGTAACCTCATGTATCATAAAAACCATATGGCAAAAGTACCTATAAATATAAGTAAACATGTGTTGGTAGAAATATGGAACATAAATCTGAGCATCCATCTTATTGATAGACAAGATAGAAACTAGTATGGAAACTTTATAATACTTCAGTGTTTCATAATAGTACATGATCATGGCTTGGGATTTCTAAAACACAAGAATAATATGATAAGATTAAGTTTGTGTCACAAAGAATAGCAATGTATCAACACAAGGCAATCGGTAAGCAATAAAGGGCAATGGTTAGAGCTGGCATCCTAAGAAAGGCACCCCACCCACAGTCCATTCCATGTCCATGGATCGACAAGGTAGAGGGAAACTGCTGCTAATATCGTTCATTAAGTATGCTTTAAAAAAGAGAGAGGGAGCTATTTACAAAGAGCTATTACATACAGTGAGCCCCGGGAAAGCCCGAGCCTACCGAGCAGGCCTTGCTTCTCGGGGTCTCGCAAGTTCGCCACCTTCGACAGATGGACAACTTTCCTGTCACCTTCGACAGATGGACAACTTTCCTGTCATATGTCACAGGAGAACACTTTGGTTTTCCTTCCTAGCGAATTCCTGTTTAACACGGCTTCTGACTTTTGTGGGTTGTTCTGTCATTTTACATAAATTTAAATAATCCATAGGCATACATATATGCCCATGTGTATATGAACATATTTTGAAAAGGCTTGTCCTAGAGATTGTATTGATTTTATAGAACTAGAATTCTTACTTCTCTTTTGAGATTATTACCCGCAATGATAAGTGTATTTCCCGCAAGCATGGTATATTAAAGTGGTATGGAAAACATTTTTATATTCATCATAAAACTTGCCAGATAATAAAAGTATATTTTACTTTGATTCAATGTTGGGTTTATTATACAAAAGACCTTGATCATTAAACTCCGTCTACTAGGAACCCTAAAATGCGAACATTGGAAAGGACTGCACAGTAAACTTACCTCAAAAGCCACAGCGACTGTGCCATAGGTTCCTTTTTCCCTAATCAGAGTGAGAGGCACAGACTCGGTTCTGCCTCTGGGCTCCCTCACAGTGACTGAGGGAGGCTACATGGGAAAGAAAGGATGATCAGGCACTGATGATGAGTCAGAAAGGTGGGAGGCATTACGAGCCAGTACCTTAACAAGAAATGTCCCCAGACAAATCCATCCACGCTGGACTCCCAAGTATGTGGCATCCCCTCACAGAAACTACCGCTAAACAAACACGTAAAAATAATAATGGAAAAGAACCACGCAACTTGTCAAACAGGTGATGAAGAGGCTTGTCCTGGTTCTACATAGAAAGTATCTAGTCCAAAGATCACTAACTCATGGAGTTAGGAATTTCGTGAGAAAGAATGAAGCTACCAGTCCACAAAATTCATTGGTACCATCACTCAGCCCTGCTCCCATCAGCTCTCCCCTCCTCATTGGCCAGTTAGCCAGTGGAGGGCAAATAACTGCTAATGACTTTTTTTCGGGTATGGATCATTGGTTAGAGGTTTAAAAAAAAGCCCAGGGTAAGATATTAAAACACATCAGCATCTTTTCCAGGTATTACTCATTGGTTAGGAGTAAAAAATAAATAAAAGGCAGGAGTTCAAATATTTAAACACACCAGCTTGACTGAAAACTCAGGCTAGAAGAGGAAGAACAGAGAAACAGCCAGGTTCACTCTTAGAAAGACAGCGGGCCAGTCTCTCGGCTATTCCCCTCCATAAATGGAAATGGTAATGTCGGTTTCAGAGGGCCATCATGAAGTTTCAACCAATAATTTATGTAGAGTGCAGTATCGTGGGTTACTGACTTAAGCTCTTAGCTGCAAGATCAACAGTTCAAACCCCACACCCCACTGAGAGAGACAGATAAAGCTTTCTCTTCCTGTAAAGGTTTAAAGGCTTGCCTGTCCTACCGGGTCACGAAGAGTTGGAATTGACTCAATGGTAGTGAGTATAATCATCATCATCAATGTCATCTTCATCATCCATATAATTATCATCAAGGCTAGGAAGGATAGTCAAGCTATTGGGAACCTACAGTGTACCCCACAAATGTTATCTTTCAGTTAGCAGCAGAGGGCTTAACCCTTGCAATGCCAGGGTGCCTTACTCAATAGATACTCGTTTTAATTTTAAACATGGAGACCAGGTGTCCAGTCAGATGATACGTGGCAGCACTGACCCCCCACAAATCAGGGACTTGAAGCCAATGCTAGAGGCTAAGCTACATAATGCCAAATCCAAGTGAACAAAGATGGGGGTGACAGGTTTGGAGGCATAGTAGAGGAAGGATAGTGTGGAAAGAAACCATTTTATTCCCATCCAAATTCTCTGAAGTCCTAAATGTAAGCTTGGTATCAAATGCTAGCCAAACAAAAAAGCTGTGTTCAAATGAGATTTTTATTATTTTTTTATCAGCAAATTTTAAGGTCACTGAAGCCAAAGAAATAGCAAGAAATTAAGGGAGCCTGTTTTGGAAGCTCTACATAATTAATTAACAATTCCCTATTGCTCAAATTAAAATTATTAATTAATAAATTTAATTTTCATAGATGAAGATATAATAACCTACTGCCTAAAGGTCGACTGCAACCAAAAGCAACCTACAAGACAGAGTAGAACTGTCCCCAAAGGCTTCCTAGGCTATAGTTTTTACAGAGGCAGATGACCACAGCTTATTTCCATGTTGCAACTGGTGAGTTCGAACCACCAACCTTTTGGTTAGCAGTCAAACACTTTAACATTTTGCCATCAGAAGGCACAAGATGTCTATTAAATAGTTCTTTGTACTTAAGCTATTGAACATATAAGAATCATATTTCTCTATAGCCTACCTTGTCTCAACAGTAATTTGTACTAAAAAAAAAAAAAATACACAGTGCTCCTAACCATAGTAGCCATTTCAATTAGAAAATAAGAAGCTGGGACTGTCTTGTAGCATATCTGATCAACGCTACTTAATAGCATGATTCCAAAGGACTCCATATCCACAAGCTTTAATCTCAGTGAGCAAATCCTACTTTAGATCCATTTTGTTTACAGAGTTAGAAACAATTTCCTCCAAAACAGACTTGACTTGGGCACTTGTTTCTACAAATAAAACCCTCCGAGCATACTTGGGATTGCACACATTGCTTGCGGGCACAAGAATTCAGTAGCAAAGGAGAGAAAATGAAATGCAGAGCAAAATTTAAGGGGATAAGATAGAATGTTAACCCTCAGGAAATATTTTTAAGCAAAAAAAAAAATCCAAGGAAGAGCTTGCCTACAGAATTTTTAAGAACTGTGATATCAGTTATGCAATTTTTGGTTTACTCTGGGTTTTTTTGAACAGTTTTTCAATCTGCCTTCTGGGCTTCCAGTCACCCAAGATCTGCACAAAAGTTTGACAGACATACAAGATCTTTTTTAAGTGGTGTTTAGGGAAGTCAAACACAAGGCACTGGGTTATACACCTGACTGAAAGGCTAGCCAAGAGATGTAACCAGGGCATCAGGTGGAATGACCAACAGACAGAAGAATTAGTACAACAGCTGCCCATGACAGTGTTGGTGTCCTTAATTCAAAAACATCCTAATTTTGAAAAAATGGATGTTTGACAGGATGTAGAATAGGGACAGAGCTAACACAAATTTCATTCAAATCGACAAGATGATACTAGCTGAAAATATGTAAAATAATTGACATTTCAAATCCGCTATTATCTAGATATCTCAGGATTAATCAAACAAACTGTACCCATACCATATTAAATGAAATGATTCCAAAGGCATTGTCATTTGATAATATTGTTATAGTAACAGTCCTTGGCCATCCAAGCTTCACATTTGCTGAGGGATTCTAAAATAAAAGTCCAGGAATAAAATAATAAATTCAATAACAAGAAAAATAGTTACTTTCCTACACTATCTAAGTAATTATGTAAAATAAAATGAAAGATATCAGCATATTTTATTGAACACATTAAGGAAACATTTTAAGCTAACTCAGCAAAGTTAAAAGCCCCAAACAAGAATTTTTTAAGAACATTTGAGAACCAATAATTAATATTAAAAATTATGTTATAAATAATCATTGGCTAGTAATACTATATTTTATTACCATGTTATAATTACTATATTGTCATTAATAATATTATAATAATAAATTAGTTACCCATCATGGAATTCTGCACATATTTTTTTCTTTGACTATAGAAAGTATTGTAACTTGAGAGTTAGTTATTCTTTAAGTCATAGAGTCAAATTTGGATAAAATATTAAAGCAAACCTTCTTATGAAAGTGAGGGGAATTTTGTGTGACATTCCAGCATTAACATAAAGTAAGGGAACCTTTTTTTAAACAATGATTACAAAAATAAAACATGATGTTTTAAGTATTATTTTCATGAAAATATTAATCATGCTGGCATAATCATTCTAAAAATTATTCTCAATGTCTTTCAGAAAAAATGAACAAGAGCAAGGTTAACAGTCATTACCAAAAACCAAGACTCAAGCTATGATGGGGTGATGAGACCTGAGGTTGCTCAGGTGCCTTTCCCAGGGGAGCCTGAACTTATTTCACGGCACAGAGACCTCCCACTTCCTGCCTGATTGTTGCTTCCTCCTCTGAACTCACAAGTCATGTTCATTCTTTGGGCATCTGGTAGCAAGGATAGAAATAAAAAGAAAAAGGCCAAAGGGAAGACAAGGTCTTCTTGAGCATTGCTCATGAAATTCTCCTTGGTAGACAAATAGATAATTAGTCATAGTCTCTTCTAAAGATAATCTGAGGAATACCAGACTGTATTCTTCAAATGGACCAAAACAGTCCATTCTGACTGCCGTGAAAATCACCAACAGTGGATCACATTGACTTGTCTCTAGAGCAAAGTCTTACAGGATTTTTGTGGGGTTAAAGTCAATGGGAAAAGGACATACTTGTAATGTTAGGTGAAAAGTGAAAGTTTCATCCGGCTCTGGCAGGTCGTCATCACATACGGCTATGTACACTGTCCTGTTTGTTAGTCCAGCGGGTATAAAAGCTGCAGCATATGTGTCAAAAAAGTCTCCAGTGTCTTCGCCAGACAGCTATCAAATGCAAAAAGAGAAAGCAGGAAAAGGTGGTGGGACAAAATACCATGTTAGAACGAGTACAAATGAGGCTCCATGGAGCCATCGGCAACAACTAAATAAAAAACAACCGTGAATCATCAAATGGCACTGACGCTTCTTAATACAGCAGGTATAGATAGGAAAATGCAAATATTCAACAGCTGGTAAAACTCATTTCCCATAAAACAACTGTTAGAAATATATCCACACAAAAACATTTGTTTTTAATGCTCCAAACGGATAAAAGAATAATTACATAGAAATGTAATAATGGCTTTTTTTTGGCCTTTTTTCTCCTAAATGACCTGCTGTGGACTACAGCACACCCACCAAGATAAATTGTAGCTAAAATTCACACAAACAAGATATAGCAATTCCCTGACAAAATGTTTCAGGAAAATCAATCAACTTGTTTATCAATTTTTAAAACATGCCCTTTCCCAAAATTTCAACCTTTAGTAATATTTAGATTCTCCTACAATGACTAAAAGAAAGGCTCAATTCCTTCAGCACTCAAAGCTACTTGGTAATTACAAACTTATCACTAACTTTTGATGATCTCATTTGGTAACATTTGGCATTCCTAGTAACATTCACAGTGGAAGTAATATTTTCAAAATTGCACAATTTCCTGTTGCAACACAACTGAAATTATGCAAAATGGATAATTTAACTACTAGAAAAGTATACTTTGGCATATATAAAAAAATGTAGGACATAGGTAGAAACTTTTTTTGTCAATTTCTAGTTTCCTGGACTGGTTTTTCTAAGAGATACCATTGGTCTGCTCTTGTTCAAAACAAAAGGAGCCTCTTGGCAAAACAATCCCTCCTTAGACTATCTTCGGTGGACGTCAAGGATCTCAACAGACCCATATCAATAGAAGAAATAGACAAGGTTATCAAGGCATTACCAACAAAAAAAGCCCCTGAAGAATTCTACCAAGCATTTAGGGAAGAACTAACACAAACTCTTCCAGAACATAGAAAAAGATGGCAAACTCCTGAACTCCTTCTATGAAGCTAGTATAACTCTGATACCAAAACCGGGCAAGGATCCCACAAGAATTGAAAACTA